CCCCCTTGAAGCCACAGCCGTGACTAATTTTTGCACATTTAAAGGCTTAATAATACACCTATCTTGTGCAACACACCAGCACTAAAGTGGTGCCACTATAAGAGCACACTTGCAAACTCGTGCAAAAAGCTTACAGCTCTAATTTGTTCTCCATCTTCTCATCCAGCTTTTTTTTTCTTTTTCCTTTTTTTCTCAGTACTGAGCCGTCAAGCAAAGTGTCACAGGGTGAGTTTTAGTGCTAAGCTTCCCAGCTGTCCTCCACCTCCCTGTGTTAGCTTGGTGGAAAAAAAAGATAAGCATGAAATCTAAGAAATAAGGAGGAAATAAAAAGGAAAATCAAAAGCTGGTTGAAACGACTAGTGGGATGTTTCTTACGGGTTTTCACACAACCAGTAGACATGGACATAAAAGCTGGCTGCATTTTTTCATCATCTCTTAGAATCCAAACCAGCACTGGTGCAAACCAAGCAGACAGATCATGGTGTCAGGACACAGTTACACCTGGCTCACACAGAAAGATAATTGTGCTGATTTTTGACCCGAATTTTCCCTTCAGACAATTTTAAGGACGCTTCAATTATCATGACAGCTTTTAAGATAATTTTATGGGATATTTCTGCCATGTGGGGTGTGTTAAAAATCAGCTCAGAAAGATGACCGACTTCAAATCGGGAATGTTCAACATGTTGGATTATCTTGGCTTGATATCACAGCATGTGTGTTGTTTTCCCCGAGGACAAACAAGCTCACAGCCTCTTGAATGTGATGTATAGCCAATCAGAAAGCAAGGTGATGGAAACATGAAGGGGGATCTAAAACACTGAAGACAAAACAACTGCCATGGAGCACCAGAAAATCCAGACGTCAGAGATATCTTTTTTCCCACCCTTAAAAATAGTCCACAAACTATAGTGCTTCTCCCTCATCAGCCATGTTTTATTTACCCTGAACTCATGTTTGGTCTCGAGAGGTTTTGTGAGATTTCCTGTCTTAAAGGGCCAATACTATGTGTTTCTCAGGCATATATTTAAATACTATACCATAATAAAGTATCTATGACACCTTTAGCTGTTATTAAAATGCTTTCTTTATGTTTAAATAGAAAATAAACTTATCTTCTCATCACCTCCTTTACTAAATGCCTTGAAATTGGCCTCTGTCTCTTTAAGAACCACCTTCGCTTCTGTGTTGCCCAGTTCGGTGCTGGGGGGGGGGGCGGGGGGGGCATGATGCCGTTAACTTGGCATCTGAAAATGCATTTCCTCAAAGGTATTTTTAATATGAAAATAGCTTCACTGAGTGAGAACTAATGCTGAGAGCTCAGCAGACAGTTAGGTTTCACTTTCACCCAAGAGCCTGCAGGAATCATGGGCGGAGTGTGTGGGGAGGGTCTCTGCCATGAGGAAGTTCGGCTTAAAGACACGGCCCAGGGGTGTTTCTGGTCCCCACCTGTCGTTTTGCTCCTCAGCATGGCTTCCTAAAAACACTGCAGGATTTCTCAAACATGCATGAATGAGTCAGAGCAAGGCTTTGGGCATGTTTTCTTATGAGAGTATAACATTATAACATGATATAAAACTCAAAAAAGTTGATTTTACATGATATTGCCCCTTTAATGTTCATGAATGAAAGTTGTGTGTGGTGTGTTTTCTTTGTCATGTGGCTGTACACCACACACTAGGTGTGTTTTCATCCAATTTTAATGTGAATTTTGAGCAGAATTTTAAAATGTTCCAAAAAAAAAAAAAAAAGAAGAAGAAAATACACGTCAGACTTGTTTCCATTTACTGGCTTGGAGCGAATCAACCAGGCTACGTAAAGTGTAATTACGTCAGACACTCGTGTTACAGAAAGTAAGGTCACAAACTTGCAGGGACTACACATCTCAGGAGAGAAGTTATCAGGAACGTGTTGTTACTATCGGGAAGGTTGTAATTATTCTGTCACACCAGCTAATATTGGAGATGTTACATGCTGTCTGGAGGCGTAGAAAAAGAAAGCGATTCTCTTCACATTACGGGAATATCTGGAAAGACGCCGACAGCAGGAGGAGGGTCCAGCTGCAGCTGCTACAATTATTGGACAGCAGAAACAGCTGATCGAGGTAAATGTTCGCTACGTCAGAACTCATTCATCAAATGTTTTTTCATCTTGTAAAAAACGTTTTTGCTAATTTGCCATATCCGTCAACCTTTTCTAATGCAATACTTCAAAATGCGCATAAAAAACATTGATGGAAACTAGGGCTGCCACGATTAGTCGATTGGTCGACGACTAATCGATTATTAAAATAATCGATGACTAATTTAATAATCGATTAACCGTTTTCTTTTTTGTTTGGTTTTGTTCTTTCCTTTGTTTTTCTCTCCAAACTGCTTTGACACCTTCCACTGCCACATCTGCCTTTCTGTCCTTGACACACACGTACAGTAGTGGTAACTGGGGTAGGCCGTGGACGTCACAAGACATTATACAGACAGGCTCTGGTATCATGGCTACCCAGCAACGGAGCTCAAAAGTGTGGGATCATTTTAAGAAAATGAAAGAGAAACCTGTGCAATATCTGCAGAGCAGAACTTGTCTTCCACAGCAATTATTTTTAGTTAGCATATAGCTAAAATCTAACCATGGTTATATAATAGCAGCTGCATTCTGGCGCGATAAGCTCTATGTTTTATATTCAGTTAACGTATGATCTGATTAGTCGACTAATTGAAAAAATAATCGGTGATTAATCGATTATAAAAATAATCGTTTGTGGCAGCCCTAATGGAAACACAGCTACTGTAGGACCAAACCTCTCATGTGTATGATTTTTTTTATCTTTATGTGGAGTCTCTCAGGTTTTGGAAATCAACCGACAATTTTAAAATCTTGCCTCGTAAACCAGGCATTAGAAGGTTCTTGGTGGTGTCTAAGTGTCAATTTTCTCTGTGCACTTCAGTCTCTTCCCACTGACTAAACACAAGTTAGATTTATTTGTAACACAATTGTCCCGAGGTGTGAGTGAGACTGTGAATGGTTGTTTGTCTCATTTGTCTCTATATGGCTCTGTGATGGACTTGCAACCTGTCCAGAGTGTGCTCCACCTCTAGCATAATGACTGCTGGAGACAGGCAGAAGCTCCCCCATGATCGGAAAGGAGAAAAAAGGTCAAAGACAATGGATGAATGGGTCTCCAGAAAAAGCAGAAGCAGAGAGCAGCTGCCAGTTAGAAAGGGCTTGAAGAGCAGCGAGGGGTGTGTGTAATCTGTCCAACATACAGATACACATTAATAACCAATAGGAGGGGTGCAGGAAGGCCAAAGACAGACTAAAGGATGGTAATACTAAGCTCCCTGGAACAGAGATAAAACTGCCAAATGGACAGATCGGCAGGCAGAGGGACCACTACACCCTCGGCACAAACTGACAGATGACTCTGAGTTTCTCACAAGTCTCTTTCTGAAGGACCACTTTTCTTGTTTCTCTGCCACACTGTCCTCCTCTCATCAACTATCAGTGGCTTCAAAGGTCACAAAGACAGACACACAAACAAATATAAAATGTCAAGACTACTGCCAAAGTTCAAAATGTCATGATTAACATTCTTAATTTGAGTTTTCAGCATGATCAAAAGATTTGATTTAATATTGTAAAAACACATCTTTTAGAAATGACTAAAAAAGGATTATTGTGAGCTCTGTGGATTAATTTGCTTTAGTCTTTTTTGCATCTCAAAATTTTAGCCTCCTTTTAGAGCTGCTAGGATAATTACAAAGCATGGGGTGAGTAAGTGCAGAAGCTGTTATGGGCTGCTGAGATTTTTAACATGAATACTGTAAAGGAAAAAAGAAATGGACACTAAGCAGATAAAATGTCAGTGTGACTGAAGACAGATAACAATTCATGTTAAAAGATGAATTTTGTAATTCCACTACAGACAGTAGCTTTGAAAACTGTGAAACTTATTTTCCTTCTTAAATCCCCTTGACTACTCATTTGTTCTTCAYGGTTGGTTACGTTTTTACCTTAGTGACCTACAATTATGCTAATAAATGAGCTGAAGGAAGGACAAGTATTGATAGAAACTGATTTTGAAAGTAATGGTTTTGCTATTTTATGTGCACTTCAGTTTCTTTTACTTTCACTTTTCTTTTACTATACTATGTGTGGAACAATTGAGGTGACCCTAACTGAAGAAAAAAGTCATTTGTTTGTTGCTTTGATAAAAAAGAATTAAATTGTTTTTTCCAGTGATTTTTGCTGGTATCTCCCACAATTAAAATGTGCCTTGTTGCTTCAACTTAAAAATGTAGATGGAAGAGTTATATAT